GCTAGTGCCGGGCGGCAGGGGGGGGGGAGGGGAGGGGCCATGACGACAGTCACGAAAGTTGCACTGTTTGCAGAATGCAACGGACAAAGAGTGTCAGCGTGTGTTAAACGACTAGAATGCGCAAAGCTTCCTAAACGTTCATAGAACGCGCTTAGGCAACCGAGGACGTTCCTAGCTTCAATTACGCTGACATATTTGTGCAGGGTGCTCATTACATTTGCCGCATAGCATCTCCCATTCTAAGTACGTCTATATCGTCTAGCATATAATATACGTACGTACGTATATGTGTGCATATATATATATATATATATATATATATATACATAGAGGAAGGTACTATGGGGCTAAAGTCGTATGTGCTGCTGCTGAGCCCAGCAATGCACCCTCCACCTACCTCGCTGGCACTCACATCTACGTATGGACTTTACACCACGAATAAAATTATACACAATCTTTTTCAGCCTCGTTAAGAAGACCAACCTTTATTATGCGTCGGTCCTGGCAATGTGTCACTGTCCGTCCCTACGTATGTCCGTCTGTCGGTCGGTTTATCTGTCTCTTACGTTATACGTCTACTGCGATGGACCACCAGGCAGCTTCTTGCTCGTCTGCGATCCTTCTGAATCCTTTGGCCAGGACACAGAACTTTAGATCTGTACAAGCAGCCTATTCCGCTTTGACGTTATTCGTGGATCCTGTTGCAAGAGATGAGAATTAAATTTTTTTAATCCCTCTGCCTCTCTCTTTGCGTTTCTTAGAATTTTCTACATATCTGGATGATGTGTGTGTAATGTACGCACGCATACGGTACACGTAAGCACTTTACTATACTCTACGCATCGCGAGACACCGGAAGCTCCATTCATCCGACTGCGAGGCTCGCGTGCGATCCTCGCACCGGAAACGATAAGCCAAATTCACTACAGGAAGTGCACACCCTGATGCGAATTATTAACCTTTATTAGTGGTATCTATAGGTATGTGTGAATCTTCCTGGCGACAGATCCGATCTGTTCAATTGTATAATCAAGTATCGCTTACAATTGTATGGGGAGTGATTGTATTGATTTGTGCTGTCGAGCAGATTGCATTTTGGACAGGAAGAGAATAAGGAGAAATGAAGAGCAGAGTTTACTAATTATGTATATATGTTCTTTTTTTTCTTTCTTGTCAAACATTGCCTATTTGGATCCAATA